CCAGGTTAATTGAGTGTATTTACGGTGTATTTATAGTGCAGTGATGTTCAATAAATGAGAGGGTTTTGTTTTTGTCACTACAGCTTTCTAGTTTTTCATCACTGATACATGTATCTATGCTACTTTCGATTCGGCGTTACCTGATTTAATGATGAAATGTTCATTTATGATAAAAAGTTGTTGAAAATAAAGTTTATTTTTTGCTATTACCGCAGCTCGCAAGACGTATATATTCATATATTTAACTATATACACATTTAATACACACAATGTATACAAGTCCGCTATGCCAAAACTGAAAATGGTTCGGAGTTTTGTCAGCTCGGCAAATCTGACAGTGACAGTGTAACGACGTCTGCGTTGATAGACTTAAGCAGGGAATCTAAAGATGTTCTCCCGAACAGGAAAACGTCTGCGTACCTTGATAATCTCTCCTAACGATGTGGTGAAGGGCTGGACCCTCCATTGCCCGAGGGAAATTACACATTGGTATCACAGATAACCAACGACTGATGATAACACCGACAGAAATGTCTGACTCAAGATTAAAGAATTTGACGTAAAGAAACAAATGATAGATCAAAGCATTAAGTTGTTCTTTTCCTACCAACGATAAGATGTGTGAGCTCGTACAGGAAAGTAAATCTGTAGTTAAGGGGAAGATATTTCAATTTGATTTTATTTCATTACATAACACTACAACATATAGGATTACTACGAAATGACATATATACTATGTTTTAGGTCAGTGGTAAAATAACAACATCCAGCTTCTGTGTAAACTTTAAAGCTAGAATGGGATTCACAATCTTAGTCTGATTAGATAGGAACTAAAGATTAACACACTGTATTAGGAAGAGACAGGTGTCAAAATACCTGTTGTGCATTTACTAACAACTTTTGTCCACAAACATATTGAGCAATTATTCCAGTGACTGCTATTTCATCGATTCATAGAACTCGCACGACAGGGGAAGGACAAGAGGTATGTGATGTAAATAACGATTTAAAAAATCATCAAGATTTCTGTAGTGTAACTTGAAAACTGTAATAATTGTCCTATTTTCGATGTTGGTATAAAAGCTACACAGTAGGTAGTTATTATATAACACTGGAAACGTGTAAAACGATGTGATCATGAAAGTATACATGTCCTCCATTTAATCACATGTCTTATTTCCCACACTAACTAACCAGGGTGTTCGGTCTATATAGACCTGCTACTCAATATACCGATTTCAAAGAGAGCGTTACAGAGAACCCGATCAGTATAGTTTCTGAAATTTTTTACATTTTTAAACCATGTAGCTTATTTGTTAACAAAAATCATTGGGTAATTTTTTTCTAAATTATTAAAAAAAAAAAGAAATAGTTGGTTGTTATCATCCGATAACAAGGTGACTTTATATACCGATTACTGCGTTCGAGAGATAACGAGATTTAAACAGCTTTCGTACAATGTTAAGTGATAATTCATTTATTGAACAAGATACAATAATTAATGTAGACATGCAGGTGATTAGCACCTTTAATACAAATTTGGAATCACAGTCAAATTATGAATAAAATGCATCATACAGCTGTTTCCTCCTTAAATTCATCAGTGATGCTAAGGGCCTAAATTTTAGAACATAGAAAGCGTCAGATATAACCGAAAATTCATTGAAAGAAATGTCAAAACCTAGATAACTTTGGCAATTTTAATAGAACGTCAATATATGCGAAGTAAAAAAAAAACAAAATCTTTCATTAACGTAAAAATCTTTGAATCCCTCTACACAGATACATTGTCTTAACAGTTTATATATATATTAAAGTAAGTTTGTTCTAGCTTTCAAAGCTCCGCGAATATTTATATATTACATACTTCTTCCGGTTCACCTCGATAATAATGGAGCCGGTATTAGCGTTGATTTATATTTTAAGACAAAATCTGTCTATGTAGGATTTTAGACTAACGTACTGGCGGCACAGTGTTAGGTACCTCCTACCGCTACACATCATAACTAGGAAGTCGTCAACCATTTCGTTTTAGAAAGTTATCGTAACTTACGAAATTTTCATGTTGATATTTTAAAGAATCGGTGCCAGCAACTGTAATGAAAGCAACATGTTGCAGAAACGACTTGTGCTATAAACACTTAAAATAGAGCGAAAACTGAGGGGTGCATAAGGGGAACGTGCGTAGCGAGACAGAGGCGTGTGTAGGGGAACTTACTGAGAGAAGTAAACCTGAAAACTACATCGAGGGGTTTTACAATTTATGTGATTTATGTAACAATTTCTATTCGTTATGTTTGTCGAAAACATTTTGTCTCCAGAACCATATCGACAATAAATCTACAATGGAATTTGAACTCTAAGAGAAGTAGATTTTGTTTGAACTAAAAGGAAATGGCCGGTTTGTAAAAGATACAGGTCTTTGCTACAGAGTAACGGAGTCAAAGATTTTTAATTGAACTACATAAAACGTAGTGGTGGTAGCTTGTACATGATCCAAAGTCATTTTGAAGCTTTGGATTAGAACTATTTTGTAATTGATTATATCCCAAATGAAAATGTTATTGAGTTTTCTAATTTGAATATCTATTATTTTGTTGGTAGGGGGCGAAAATGGTAACCGCTAACCATTGCCTTATCTGAGATGTGACAAAACATCTAAACCTTGTTCTTACCGCTTACCACTACTGAACCTTCGACCGTTGTGTTGAGTGTTAGTCACTGAGGTTAAGGTTAGCGGTTCTGTCCCCAAACATATTCTGAAAGCATTGAAATGGTCAGTGTTGAAGGGAATAAATATTTCATATGACTCGTTTTGTGTTACGCTTGTTACGATTTATCTGGTGTATTGTGAGATGAGACAAAAAAACCCAGGAAGTTCAAAGTTCCTTTGTGTTAGAGGTTATTATTCTTCAAAGCATTTGTTTAAAATTTGTAAATCAAAATATGATGACAGTTAGGAGTGTGATGATAATGAAGTCCGTATATATTGGTATTCCAATATATATATACAATTTATAAATTGAAATCCAATTATGTAAATTAATTAGTCCCATTGAAATGACAGAGTTCTAATCACATTCGGTAATCCGTAGTGTTGTCCCTTGTTCATATAGACAGGTAAACATAGGTTAATAACACAAAAGAGGCGTTAGAGAAACCTGGAAATATAAGTAAACCATTCCGGTCTAAAGAAACACATACACCAAACTATTAACAGTAGATGATGTAATTGCCTCGTTATATAACTAGATATAACAAAACATTGACCAGGGGAGAGCTCGAGTGTCACCCTGAAAATATATGCTTGTGAACAATGGTAATTGATTGTTACACATCAAAGCAATTCTAACAGCATACGGGAGGTTAGTTGCCTACCATTGAGAACGTTTTGGATTTAATGTCATGAACAAGGACACAACTAAGCCACCACAGACCGGTTCGTTTCTAACGTAAATTGACGATCAAGTACAAAGATATGAAAAATATTGAAAAGTTCTTTATGATAATTCCACTAGCCTGGTTAGCCCGTTGTCAGTTTATTCTTCCGGGTGTTGGCGCTGTAAAAGTAGGAGACGCTTACTTTTCCAGAGTACCTGGTCTTATTCTCCTTGTTCTTTTAATGTAGTTTCCGTCTACATCTTTCTTTTTGTCATATTTCGCCCTTCTTTCATATAATTTGTGTTGATTAAGATTCTATAAATATGTCGATGTGTCGATGACGTCATCTTCCGTGGACATGTTGCTGCTAGAATGCACCCTAATGTTGTTTTAACCTTCTTGGTGGATAATTTTGAAACTTGGTGGATATATTCAGATCTGTACGACCTTTCCACTGATTTTTTTGTCTGATATTGAAACAAAGCTTTAATTAGATGGTAGTAGAAATTATAAGAACGTGATTCTGACCAAAACAATATCATAATCATCTGACAGTGGATCCCATATAACATTGAACGCTAAAGCCCATCGGACCTCTTATTTGACTAAATAGACACAAACTTATTCCAACGATAAGAGCCCGGATGTACGTTGTTACGTAATACTGCTCCAGCAATATTATCACCCGTGAAGATCGGTGGCTAGCGATGAGATATGAATTAATGCGGAAAGCTACACATTGTGTAGACGCCGACACCTGTCAGACCAGTTCCAGACCGATCTGTTAGGGATGGTGTGAGACACGGTATATAGCAAAGGCAGTTTAGTAATAATCTCTTACTGTTATAGTCATTGTCAAATAAGTGCTTTCTTCTGGTATGTAATCTCTTACTGTTATAGTCATTGTCAAAGAAGTGCTTTCTCCTGGCATGTTTTTAAATGGGAATATAGTTTAGCATCGCTGGGAAAATACAATAATGATATCTTCATTAGAAATGTGATCTTACGTACGTAAATATGAATTATTTGATAGATATAAAAACATTTGACACGAAGAGTTAACATTTGTCTTATTTCCTGCTTAGAATTTAATAACATAACTACGTTAAAGCCTATGTCTATGACGAATGATGTGGTCTTTTGCGTGTTAAATGGATGGTTATCAGTAGCAGATAACACATTTGGTCGCATTTCGATATATTTCTCACAGCACAAGGCATTTCGCTGCCGTTTTAAATCGAAATAACAGTCGTTTGTTTGGACGTTGTCTAGACGTCTAGCAGCTGAAGTCACGTATTTGTTAGACAACCCACTGTCTATAGTCTATAACATTTACTGAGATGATCACTTTGAACAATGGCGTTGTCTTAATGTATAATTTGGTACTGTGGCTTGATATTTATTGCATTATTTGAAGAAAAACACCTTTGACATGGGCCTACATTTAGGTAATCTGTGTCGCTGCTGAGATTATCTGGTATGATATAGAACGTAGCAGTGACTGATGTAAAAAATTCCATCCCTGATCTCTTTACATCATCATTACTGGTTCATTAGATGATCATGAATGGCCAGGATAATTAGTCGTTCTTTAACACTGTAATATCTCCATCTTTCAGAATCATGGTTCTGGGACTGACGGATTCAACTGTGCCATATAAAGGCCAGAAGTACTACAAGATCAAAAGTTCCTGCTCTCGTGGTGGAAAACTCTTTGTCGACAAGGATTTCCCACCCTCTGGATCCTCGTTGTTTTTTAGTCGTCCTGCCCCGGCCGACATCGTCTGGAAACGTCCTAGTGTAAGTCACGATTTTACATTAAATCTAAATCGAATACTCTGATAACTCGAAGTCTTCGTCCGGACCCGCCGACTTCGAGATAATGAAGTTAGACAGTATTTGTTATAAAGCAGTTAATACAGCAAAATTTATTCTGTTATTGACCTTTTTGTCTTTATTAGATAAATCAGATACATTCATCAAATCGTTATACAACAATACTCTAAATACCGTGATTGTAAAACGTATTCACACGTCGCCGTTATCAAAATCAATTGGATTTATGGTCGTGTTTTATGAATTTCAGGATATATGTGCAAATCCGAAATTTTTTACGGAAGGAGCAAGTGCCGATGATTTCTCTCAGGGAAGCTTGGGTAACTGTTGGTTTGTAGCAGCGTGTGCCTGTATCGCGGAGGATCCCAAACTCTGGAAAAAGGTGTGTACAAATGTAGGCTGTGGTAACAGGTAACATACTTCAAAAAAGTTGTGTAGACCAATTGTACCTGTAGCTATGGTTATTATATACTGTAAACGTTGTGTAGACAAGCTGTACCTGTAGCTATGGTTATTATATACTGTAAACGTTGTGTAGACAAGCTGTACCTGTAGCTATGGTTATTATATATAAACGTTGTGTAGACAAGCTGTACCTGTAGCTATGGTTATTATATACTGTAAACGTTGTGTAGACAAGCTGTACCTGTAGCTATGGTTATTATATACTGTAAAAGTTGTGTAGACAAGTTGTACCTGTAGCTATGGTTATTATATACTGTAAAAGTTGTGTAGACAAGTTGTACCTGTAGCTATGGTTATTATATACTGTAAAAGTTGTGTAGACACGTTGTACCTGTAGCTATGGTTATTATATACTGTGAAAAATGTGTAGACAAGCTTTACCGGTAGCTATGATTATTATATACTGTAAAAGTTGTGTAGACAAGTTGTACCTGTAGCTATGGTTATTATATACTGTGAAATTGTGTAGACAAGTTGTATCTATAGCAACGGTTACCACACACTCTAAAAGTTGTGTAGACAAGTTGTATCTATAGCAACGGTTATCACATACTCTAAAAGTTGTGTAGACAAGTTGTATCTATAGCAACGGTTACCACACACTCTAAAAGTTGTGTAGACAAGTTGTATCTATAGCAACGGTTATCACATACTCTAAAAGTTGTGTAGACAAGTTGTATCTATAGCAACGGGTATTACATACTCTAAAACTTGTGTAGACTAGTTGTACCTGTAGCAATGGTTGTCACGTACTCCAAAAGGTAAAGAAATGTTCCATATTTGGTGTAGACACGATCCCAGTGTTTACACAGCACCATAGCTCTATAGGTATGTAGATATGCATTATGCAAACTATAGCAGAGATATGCCGAAGGCTCAAAAACTTATGAATATGCTACCGGTAGCAACGGTGCGGCACATGCTTATAAACACGCAACATATACTTACAGCAAAGATATGACCTATGCTCAAATAGTATGTGCTGTAGCTGCGTGTAGCAGTGTGATATAATATATAATTTGCACAGGTATAAACGAGATGCAGGTTAAGAAATATGAACGAAACCCTAGTTTTATCATTATGTATCATTCAGCTACACCGTGAATGTGTTAATGGTAATTTAATGTTCAATATTGATATTGGTAGAGCAAACACAAACTAGCAAACTACAGGTGACATTCTGAGGAGAAAAGCTTTACAATAATTGATTGATTTTTATTTTGACAATGTCTTCGTTGAGTTAAAAGGTAATATCTTCGAATAGGTTAAAATCAACTTTATTTATTTTACAACAATTCCGAAACAAGGTATTTAAACTTACACTAATCACTGTTGACTATTGCCATACCCATAACTACAAGCTGCAGTCCTCTCTTGACTGACTTCTTTGCTTTCTTTGGTACTTGATTGTTGAAAGCCTTATTGAAAGCAGGTGATAAATACCTTACCAAGTTTTTTATTTTTTTATTGATTTGTCCAATCTTCTGATCAAGACATTTAGTGATTCCCCGGATATACCCGTCAGAAATGATATGAAGAAAAGACTCCAATAAATCTCATCAACAAAATGTTTAGTGATATACCCGTCAGAAATGACATAAAGAACACACTCCACTAAATCTTATCTTCATTCTGTGTGCTATCAACGGAGACATATTTCCTCTTTACCATATGATAACCGTGAACATTTCAATTTCTCTATTATGAATGTGCCATTTCTTGATAGTAGTATAGTAACATCCCTGCTGCTTCATACTTTGGTCTTCATTGTCAAAGTTTGTTCGGTATTCGAGGACTCGTTCTAAATATAACTACTTCTGTGACATCTGATGTACAAAATCGCAAAAACGTTTGATGGAAATTATCAGAAAGTTTCGAAGTCGCCATCACTATTTTACTAAGGTGTATCGATTTCGTTGTGAGTTCAATGTTAGAAATGTTTTACGTAGATATGTATTTGATATGTCTGCTGGTTTGTTGTTGCAATCCCTATGTTCAGGGGAGAACGAGAACTTACTTAGATATACCTATATACGAATGGCGTCATCGAAGAAGCAGAAAACTGTCACCCTTAGAAATCTATTTACATAATCTCCTTTTAAGTTTTCCTTTATTAATATTCATATCGATATATCATTGATTCGTTTCTTACTGATGAAGATGTCAGTATGTTTTTTGTCGTTCAGAAAAAAATAATACGAATGTTTCTGATGTTTGGATGTCTTGCTGCTGGCATCAGATAGTGGGACGTCTACTTTTTGCCATTTCTTAGGACTTCAGTTTGTCCTTCGTGGATAAATAGATACACAGTTGTAAAAGCAATGTATAGCGTGTTCTCACAGCTGGTCGTGTTGATATCTGCTCACGGCGATTTTGTTCATTTTCGTTTTTACAAAGTTCCTGAGCTACGCCTATAGTGTTTCATGTGCTATCCATAAAACAACCAAGTTTTTCTCACATAAACGAATTTTAATTTCACGTGGGATGAAATAGTTTTGGGTGATTTCATCAAAGAAAACTTTAAAGATTTGAAATTATTTCGTTTAAAAGTTAGATATACATATTGCAGTTATCTGTGGAATGAAACAGCTGCTAGGATATGACTGGTACTGATGAGTCATATGTATTGGGTATTTGTTTTAGATCCCTTCCGAAACCTTAAACTCGATAACATGTAATTAAAATGTCAAGTCAGAAATGTTGCTTCACATTTCCATGTTAATGAACTCATCAACAGGCCAAACATCCTTACGAACTTGGCAAAGACGATATCACAATCTTTTCACTTAGGGTATGTAGACAGACAAGATGTACACAGAGAAGGTTCTAACTTTAAACAAAAACATATATATATGCGAGAATATGTTATACATGTAGGTGTCGGGTTCAACAACTAGACAGACTTGAGCATGCTAACAAATCCCGCCGGATTGACGATAGAGACCGTGTGGTGTGTGGGAATACACACCCCACTGTTAACGCCAGGATGCAGACAAGCCTCAAACATCTATCACGTTTGTAATAAAGTTGAAAATGCGATGTTGAGGCCAATACTTCTACTTTCCAGTAGTAGATATTGCCGATTGTAAAGCTTGCACGACCTGAAACTGACATTGTGCGTTTGATGCATGTCTGTATATAAATAAACGAGGAGGGCAATAACTCCCCAACACTTGACAGACGCCAGGCACCGATACAAACCATATCTCGCCTAACTCTGAATCATCTTTAGCAGAATTCCTCAAGGAAAAATAACATTATCATACACATTAAAATTTCACGTTGACGAGTCTTGTACAACACGTAAATCTGAATCAAAACTACATCTTTACTGAAACATTTTTCTTGTTACCAATATGCATAGTAGAGTGGATTGTAAGTCATATACTATTTAAGATGGGATTTTGAAAACGACATATGATGATTAATAGGTATACCTAGATATCTAGATTTATGCATAAACTAGTCTTATCTCTAGGTTGTTATGACATTTGGAATTGCTTGCAGCTCTGTACTTATAGAACAGCTTAGATACTATGTATCAGCAACTCGAAAAAATAATTTTACAATTTTGAAGAACTGAGCTTGGGTTTTGTTGATACCCTCGATATCGCAAATCATTTTTGACACCCAGTTTATAAGACAAGATCATTTGATAGGGCCATACCCAACAATCATTTGTTAAAAAAACTTTCAATTTTGAAAAAGTTGTATGTGTATCTGTCTCCATTTCTCATATAAAAACATGTTTCAGTAGAGAAGATATCGACTCCGGGTTTCGAGAGATGCAGGTTGATTAAGTTCAATGGTAGCCACCATAATTTCACTGAGAAATGTTTTCTCCTCTTGTACGATGTGAGGTACTTAGTGCTTGTCAATAAACTTGGTGGATTCCGTGTTGTTAATCCTACTTTTTTGTGAAAGTGACATTTGTTACACGGATTGGCCTGGATTTACATGGATTGGCCAGGATTTACACGGATTGACCAGGATTTACACGGATTGGCCAGGATGTACACGGATTACACGGATTGACCAGGATTTACACGGATTGGCCAGGATTTACACGGATTGACCAGGATTTACACGGATTGGCCAGGATTTACACGGATTGGCCAGGATTTACACGGATTGACCAGGATTTACACGGATTGGCCAGGATGTACACGGATTACACGGATTGACCAGGATTTACACGGATTGGCCAGGATTTACACAGATTGACCAGGATTTACATGGCTAATTATACGATAATGTAGAGACCACTTACCCTTCCGAAACACATGAACTTATTCTTCTTGTACATTTTTAGGGGTCTCCGTGTAAATATTTCTTTCGTTTGAATGTGTCTTTGTTTGATATATTTTATATTTTAAATACGTTTTCGTTACATTTTTCTTGTCGTCGTTCAGATCGTACCTGACCCCGAGGAACAGGAATGGCAGACTGGGAAGAAACACGCCGGTATTTTCCACTTTAAGTTCTGGCAGTGTGGTCAGTGGCTGGATGTGGTGATAGATGACTATCTTCCCACCCGTTATGGTAGACTCATCTTCGCACATTCCAAGAGTGGAAACGAATTCTGGCCTGCTCTACTGGAGAAAGCATATGCAAAGTACGCTATGAAATTGGGAGTAATATATGTGTCATTCTTTCAAAAACTGGAAAAAGATCTAGAGCTGTTATATATAATGATAAGTACGAAATTCAATAGAAATTGGTTCTGGTGTCACAATCGATTCAATTAATGATATTATTATACATTTGAGACCGGTGTAGACGATCTTAAATGATTCTATATTGTTGATAAACGTAATTTGATTTAATGTGTTTAAAGATATCTTGCTCGAAATAATGCTTCATAAATGTTATTTATTGCCCTATCGAAGTAAGTCACATGACATTAACTCAAGGTTATCACATGGATAGAAGTGTTTCAAATGACAATGAAAATAACTATTTATAAGACATTTCATAAACTACACGAATAGAAACACTGCAAATTAAACTTTGAAATAAGAATAACAAGTTGACAGGTCTAGTCCCATTTGGAATTTTTGAGTAGATAATGTTGTAACTTGCACATGGATCAGTATAAATACGGTTTACTGTTTTGTTACTCTACAAAAAAAACGAATGAAATTGTTTGTCTTACAGACGTCAATAACCTTTAGTTAACCACCAGTGGCAAACTAACTGGCGTCATTAACCTTTAGTTAACTACCAGTGGCACACAAACTGACGTCAATAACCTTTGGTTAACCACTAGTGGCAAAATAACTGGCGTCAATAACCTTTAGTTAACCACCAGTGGCACACTAACTGGAGTCATTAATCATAGTTAACCACCAGTGGCACACAATCTGACGTCAATAACATTTAGTTAACCACCGGTGGCAAACTAAGTGGCATCATTAACCTTTAGTCAACAACCGGTGGCACACTAACTGGAGCCATTAATCATAGTTAACCACCAGTGGCACACAATCTGACGTCAATAACATTTAGTTAACCACCGGTGGCAAACTAAGTGGCATCATTAACCTTTAGTCAACAACCGGTGGCAAACTTACTGGCGTCAATAACCTTTAGTTAACCACCAGTAGCACACTAACTGGCGTCATTAATCTTTAGTCAACAACCGGTGGCATTTTTGTCTGAAACCAAGAAACAGTCAATATCTGTACTTCTGAATTCTGAGTATCCAAGTATCACAGAAACCGTAGAAATAGTATTTTTGCGAGAAAGCATGGCTATATGATGAGAAACTATAGATTCTACAATGTAAATATTTGGGTCGTCTTAATCTCCAGTATTTCCGAGAGGATAAAATCGAGATTCTGTGAGGTTAACGCTAATGCCGGTATTCATAGTCCTTTTGGTGAATACTGTAAAAATGTTAACGCTTTACTAAAACTGAACCAGTGTTCAATTCCAGCTTGTTTTCCATTCCTCTTTTCATTATTTGTAGTTGTTCTTGTAATATGTAAATGTCGGAAATAAAATGTTTTTTAAACTAAATATACACTTTTTGCTCAAAGATTCTAAAACAACTTACAATGTACTATTAACAAAAGTATGTTCCATAATGTTGAATAATGTAAAACATGAATAGCGCCAGTTATTGTTCACTTGTAGATTGTTCGGAGACTACGAGTCTCTGATAGCTGGGAAGGCACGGGACGCTATGGTGGACATGACAGGTGGAGTGGGAGAAGGGATAGAGTTAGAGGATTATCGAACAGAAGAGGACAAGAAAAAACTCTTCAAGATCCTCCGGAACTCCTTTGATAATCGGTCTCTCATGAGCGCTTCAATAAGGGTAGGCCGTAATCCTAATTTAATGTCGTACACAACCTGTCTCTAATGATCGTTTTATTAGAGCAGACTAAAGTCCATCGATCGAATCCTATCAGCGCTTCGTCCATTAGGAAAGATCGTGTTATGCTTTGTATCTTGGCATTTTTTACATGAACAAAATGGTCATTTTTTTACCCAATTTGACTTAGAGCCAGTTGCATTTTTATCAGGCCACAATTCTCCTTTGTAAGTGCATGTTCATTGGATAGGGAAATATATTTATAGAAGAAAAGAAAGACGATCATTTATACGAAATACAACAACACCTTCCTTTAGAAGACCTTGTACCGACAACAAGTTTTACAATATGTATTTACAGTAATACGAGACCTGCTAAAGTTAATTTATATTTACAGGCTACAGGACGAGAGATGGAGTCGCAACTGTCATGTGGATTAGTCAAAGGACATGCTTACAGTATCACAGCCGTCAAGAAAATCAAGCTTGTAGGTAAAAATTTGTTCGCTGTGTTCAACCGACAGAAGATGAACATGATACGACTAAGAAACCCTTGGGGAGGAACGGAATGGAGAGGACCTTGGAGTGATGGGTATGATTGAAGATAAACACTGGTTTTGACGTGTACATGGAAACTTATAACAGAAAGCACGTAACCATGACAACGTGCTATGTATTAAAAAAAACAATAACCGGAAATGTAAATATTTTTGTGATATTATCTTCAGGTTTGTAATGCCAATAGAATAGAAGTTCTTATAACACAACCAGTAGAATACATGATAATTTTAGAGGGGAAAGGAGTAATGATCACCGGAAATGAATAGGGAGTTGGTCAAGCTTTAAACATAAACAAACTGTTCGAAAATCGGAAATGAAAAAAGTTTCAATAATGCGAACGGGAAAAATGACAAAACGCTGATGGTAAACTTTATTGAACTTAGTTAACATTTGGAAACCTTTTGCATCACATGGACACGACGTTTTCCTCCATATATGGCATCAAAATAAAGTTGGGTTTTTTTTATTGTCCCGACTTAAGATTGATTTTTTTATTGTGTAGGTCTTCTGAATGGAAAAAGGTTAGTGAAAGTGACAAAAAGGAACTTGGACTGACGTTTGATGACAACGGTGAATTTTGGTAAGTTGCCTGCAGATTCGAATGTACATGTTGATTATCTGTATGAACTGAGGTATCGCAAAGTACAAGGTAATTAGGAACTGAACTGATATGAAGTCATAGATAAACAAAGAATGATTCGCTCATTGTAAATTGTGGCACAGGAAATTATTTGCTTATTTAAATGTTTTTGTTATTTTGAAATTGAGTTCTTGGATTGCTTATCATGGTTTACTAAAATATTTCATCTTTTGATACGTATTTGTTTACCAGCATCATGCAGCTGCTCCTAGACAGTAATCATGGGGTGACTGAGGTGTGAGGTGATTTATAGAGAAATCAAAAGCGGATGTAATGGACTATATATGTATAACATCGCAATGTAGAATTAATAAGTTTTCATAATTTGATGCTTTTAACATCAAGAGCACATGTATACAGTGAACAGTAGAATTCATTGTGTCTCGTATAAATCGATATTCAAAAATACTTTCTGCTACTGTTGGTTTCCATGGAGACTCATTAAAACGTTTCCGTTGTCTTCCTGTGTTGAATATGTTCTGTCGTAGTTAGTTCCTGGTCGACATATGCTTTGATCTCGTAGACTGTTTAGTACCAATCTACTGTTTTTATTAGGCGATGAGAATTGGATGTTGCTTAGGGTGATATCCATGTTTCAAACGTTACGTGGTATTATTTTCGTAATTAATTGTCCTACCAATGTCACATTACATACCTTAATATACCTGATGTTAACATAATGTCGGCACATACCATCCTTAATCCAATAAGGATCGCTTGATATTTAATGGGGCGATTGGAAAAGTGTAATTCAGATATATATTGTTTTTCAAAAAGCATATCTACGATAACATCACGTCACTAAACACGTACATTTAAGGGTGTGTCTAAAAATAGTTCACGCCATTAAACAGGTACATGTGTCGTGTATAAAACTGGTTTACACCATAAAGCAGGTACCTGTGTCGTTGTGTCTATAGATATATCACGCCTCTTAACACGTACCTGTGTCGTTGTTTGTGTCTATAGATATATCACGCCTCTTAACACGTACCTGTGTCGTTGTTTGTGTCTATAGATATATCACGCCTCTTAACACGTACCTGTGTCGTTGTGTCTATAGATATATCACGCCTCTTAACACGTACCTGTGTCGTTGTGTCTATAGATATATCACGCCTCTTAACACGTACCTGTGTCGTTGTGTCTATAGATATATCACGCCTCTTAACACGTACCCGTGTCGTTGTGTCTATAGATATATCACGCCTCTTAACACGTACCCGTGTCGTTGTGTCTATAGATATATCACGCCTCTTAACACGTACCCGTGTCGTTGTGTCTATAGATATATCACGCCTCTTAACACGTACCTGTGTCGTTGTGTCTATAGATATATCACGCCTCTTAACACGTACCTGTGTCGTTGTGTCTATAGATATATCACGCCTCTTAACACGTACCTGTGTCGTTGTGTCTATAGATATACCACGCCTCTTAACACGTACCTGTGTCGTTGTGTCTATAGATATACCACGCCTCTTAACACGTACCTGTGTCGTTGTGTCTATAGATATACCACGCCTCTTAACACGTACCTGTGTCGTTGTGTCTATAGATATATCACGCCTCTTAACACGTACCTGTGTCGTTGTGTCTATAGATATACCACGCCTCTTAACACGTACCTGTGTCGTTGTTTGTGTCTATAGATATATCACGCCTCTTAACACGTACCTGTGTCGTTGTTTGTGTCTATAGATATATCACGCCTCTTAACACGTACCTGTGTCGTTGTTTGTGTCTATAGATATATCACGCCTCTTAACACGTACCTGTGTCGTTGTTTGTGTCTAAAATTGGTTTATGCCACTTAACACATACAAGTGTTTTTGTGTCTACAAATGGTCTACTTCACTAAACACATACATGTGTCTTTGTGTCTACAAATGGTCTACTTCACTAAACACATACACGTGTCTTTGTGTCTACAAATGGTCTACTTCACTAAACACATACATGTGTCTTTTTGTCTACAAATGGTCTGTTTCTCTAAACACATACACGTGTCTTTGTGTCTACAAATGGTCTACTTCACTAAACACATACATGTGTCTTTGTGTCTACAAATGTTCTGTTTCTCTAAACACATACATGTGTCTTTGTGTCTACAAATGGTCTACTTCACTAAACACATACATGTGTCTTTGTGTCTACAAATGGTCTGCTTCACTGAACACATACATGTGTCTTTGTTTCTACAAATTGTCTAATTCAATAAAAATATACATGTGTCTTTGTTTCTACAAATGGTTTACTTCACTAAACACATGCATGTGTTTTTGTTTCTACAAATGGTCTACTTCACTAAACACATACATGTGTCTTTGTTTCTACAAATGGTATGTTCCTCTAAACACATACACGTGTCTTTGTGTCTACAAATGGTCTACTTCACTAAACACATACATGTGTCTTTGTGTCTACAAATGGTCTGTTTCTCTAAACACATACACGTGTCTTTGTGTCTACAAATGGTCTAATTCACTAAACACATACATGTGTCTTTGTGTCTACAAATGGTCTACTTCACTAAACACATACATGTGTCTTTGTGTCTACAAATGGTCTGCTTCACTGAACACATACATGTGTCTTTGTTTCTACAAATAGTCTAATTCAATAAACATATACATGTGTCTTTGTTTCTACAAATGGTCTGCTTCACTGAACACATACATGTGTCTTTGTGTCTACAAATAGTCTGCTTCACTGAACACATACATTTGTCTTTGTTTCTACAAATGGTCTAATTCACTAAACACATACATGTGTCTTTGTTTCTACAAATGGTATGTTCCTCTAAACACATACACGTGTCTTTGTGTCTACAAATGGTTGTGTCTACAAATGGTCTGTTTCTCTAAACACATACATGTGTCTTTGTGTCTACAAATGGTCTACTTCACTAAACACATACATGTGTCTTTGTGTCTACAAATGGTCTAATTCACTAAACACATACATGTGTCTTTGTGTCTACAAATGGTCTGCTTCACTGAACACATACATGTGTCTTTGTGTCTACAAATAGTCTGCTTCACTGAACACATACATGTGTCTTTGTTTCTACAAATGGTCTAATTCACTAAACACATACATGTGTCTTTGTGTCTACAAATGGTCTACTTCACTAAACACATACATGTGTCTTTGTGTCTACAAATGGTCTACTTCACTAAACACATACATGTGTCTTTGTGTCTACAAATGGTCTGCTTCACTGAACACATACATGTGTCTTTGTGTCTACAAATGGTCTGCTTCACTGAACACATACATGTGTCTTTGTGTCTACAAATAGTCTGCTTCACTGAACACATACATGTGTCTTTGTTTCTACAAATGGTCTAATTCACTAAACACATACATGTGTCTTTGTGTCTACAAATGGTCTACTTCACTAAACACATACATGTGTCTTTGTGTCTACAAATGGTCTACTTCACTAAACACATACATGTGTCTTTGTGTCTACAAATGGTCTGCTTCACTGAACACATACATGTGTCTTTGTGTCTACAAATGGTCTGCTTCACTAAACACATACATGTGTCTTTGTGTCTACAAATGGTCTGCTTCACTGAACACATACATGTGTCTTTGTGTCTACAAAAAGTCTGCTTCACTGAACATATACATGTGTCTTTGTTTCTACAAATAGTCTAATTCAATAAACATATACATGTGTCTTTGTTTCTACAAATGGTTTACTTCACTAAACACATACATGTGTCTTTGTGTCTACAAATGGTCTACTTCACTAAACGCATACATGTGTCTTGTGTCTATATATGGTTTACGCCACTAAACATATATATACATGTGTCTTTGTTTCTGCAAATGGTCTACTTCGCTAAAACACATGCATGTGTCTTGTGTCTATATATGGTCTACTTCACTTAGCACGTACATATGTCTTTGTGTCTACAAACGGGTTACGTCACTAAACACGCACTTATGCATTAATATATTACACTACCAGGTTTGTAACAAGATATCCACTAATGGTATTATACTACCAAGTTTACAGCGAGACATCCTAGTTATTTACACTATTAACTGTTGCACATCGTTACAATGTTTCTGACGGGATACCACTAATGAAGTACAATTACTGTTTTACAATATAACCAAGTTTGCTTTTACAAGTACCACTTGTTAAGTTACGCAGCTTCGAATGACGTGAAGTTCACACTACTACATACTACCATGTAACAGGATATCATATTTTTTCCAGGATGGCGTTTGAGGACTTTTATCGATACTTCACTTCCATGGATATTTGTCACATGATCAACACGTCATTCTTCTCCTTCAAGAAAACTTGGAAACAAGGCAAAGCTTTCGGCGAGTGGAAACGCCAAGACAGGTGTGGTGGATGTGGAAACAATGGATCTTTCCTCAACAATCCGCAGGTATGGGCTTTAAGGTGACTCAACATCCTTTAAGTTAACAATATGATAGGTTGGTCACGGTGAAATGATGCTGTCATAATATCTCCCTTGTATATGAGATAACAGTGACAATCTCATCCACAACACGCACAATGCTAATACATTTTATTTGAGTAAATTTGTCAACAGTACATATCTGTCAAAAATATAAGTCTGTTTCAGGAGACCCCGAAGTACTTCGGTAGACGAAGTGTCTGTGGTATATAGATGTAGACGAATTATCTTTGGTATATAGATGTAGACGAAGTGTCTGTGGTATATAGATGTAGACGAAGTGTCTGTGGTATATAGATGTAGACGAAGTGTCTGTGGTATATAGATGTAGACGAAGTGTCTGTGGTATATAGATGTAGACGAAGTGTCTGTGGTATATAGAGTTAGACGAAGTGTCTGTGGTATATAGATGTAGACGAAGTGTCTGTGGTATATAGAGTTAGACGAAGTGACTGTGGTATATAGATGTAGACGAAGTGTCTGTGGTATATAGAGTTAGACGAAGTGACTGTGGTATATAGATGTAGACAAAGTGTCTGTGGTATATAGATGTAGACGAAGTGACTGTGGTATATAGATGTAGACGATGTGTCTGTGGTATATAGATGTAGACGATGTGTCTTTGGTACATAGATGTAGACGAAGTGTCTGTGGTATATAGATGTAGACGAAGTGTCTATAGTATATAGATGTAGACGAAGTGTCTGTGGTATATAGAGTTAGACGAAGTGTCTGTGGTATATAGAGTTAGACGAACTGTCTGTGGTATATAGAGTTAGACGAAGTGTCTATAGTATATAGATGTAGACGAAGTGTCTTTGGTATATAGATGTAGACGGAGTGTCTCTGTTGTATATAGATGTAGACGAAGTGCCTGTGGTTTATAGATGTAGACGAAGTGTCTGTGGTATATAGATGTAGACGAAGTCTCTGTGGTATATATATGTAGACGAAGTGCCTGTGGTAGAAAATTAGAAAATAAAACAACTATGTACGAGATATGGTTTGGCCATTAAACAGTTTTTCCTCCGATATACATATAATGTAAATTCACACTACAGGCGCTGCAACCAATGCAGAAGTGCAGACTTCATTTTGAATTTTTTTTTATAAACATTTTCTTCGGGTTGGTCATGTCATTAGAATAGAAGTTCTTACAACACAACCAGTAGATGATTAGAGTTGGACGTTTCGATGACCGCACGGTCACCTTCATCAGACAAATGACCAGTGTGTAGCGTATTACCACTGACGTACGTAGTGTACGAGATGGTACAGACTCTGCTTTTTCGGCTGCTCTATAATTCTATGTACATTAAGGTCGAACATAGTGTGACGAGATACGAGACGGTAAACAGATTATAGACCAAAAACACCAGATGGTAACAATGTACTGTAGTCAACTGGACTACGCTTTGTTTACATCACTTAGAATACTAACGCTCTGAACAACCGAAAGTACATTCACTATTGTTGTTGTGAGACAGTCACTTTCATCAAAATATATCCGACAGTCTATTGATAAATAGTTCACAATGTTTCAACATTTTGTTCACAAGAACCGCAGATACAACCGGTAATCGGTTGGGCACCAAGTTTGACAAGAAACCCGATTTCTCTGCATATCTTCGGTGTTTTTTGGCACAATAACCATAGTTTATGCGGAGCGATGCTTGGATGGATATTCTGAAAACGAGTTAGATCAGTCCGTTTTAATATGCGCTCTTTCCCTGTTACATTCAGAAGTTTTTGATATTGCATCCTTTACTATACATTTCAAGGCGATTTTGTTAGGGAAACATCCGTGTGAAATAAAACTGTTCGCAAACTCTTCCTGGTCGTACAAAAAATACATTGTGATATTCAGCGCCCAAGAGACTTCCGTACATTCTGCCAATCCGAGTATACCGATGTTAAATTGAACAACCCCTTGTGTATTTTGACATAGTCTTCCAAAGAACAATACTCGTTGTTTATTATATGGTGTGACAGTGACAGTCTACAGTTGCCAAGAATTTCAATGGTACTATCTGACGGTGAATATGTATCAGGTGTATACATGTAGAGGAAGTGTCGGTGATATATAAACGAGGTGTCAGTGGTATATAGACGAGGTGTCAGTGGTATACAGACGGGGTGTCGGTGGTATATAGACGAGGTGTCGGTGGTATATAGACAGGGTGTCGGTGGTATATAGACGAGGTGTCGGTGTTGTATAGACAAAGTGTCGGTGGTATATAGACGGGGTGTCGGTGGTATATAGACGGGGTGTCGGAGGTGTATAGACGCAATGTCGGTGATATACAGACGGGGTGTCGGTGGTATATAGACGAGGTGTCGGTGTTGTATAGACAAAGTGTCTGTGGTATATAGACAAAGTGTCGGTGGTATATAGACGGGGTGTCGGTGGTATATAGACGAAATATCTGGTATATAGACGAGGTGTCAGTGGTATATAGACGGGGTGTCGGTGGTATATAGACGAGGTGTCGGTGTTATATAGACAAAGTGTCTGTGGTATATAGACAAAGTGTCGGTGGTATATAGACAAAGTGTCGGTGGTATATAGACAAAGTGTCGGTGGTATATAGACGAAATATCTGGTATATAGACGAGGTGTCAGTGGTATATAGACAAAGTGTCGGTGGTATATAGACGAGGTGTCGGTGTTGTATAGACAAAGTGTCTGTGGTATATAGACAAAGTGTCGGTGGTATATAGACGGGGTGTCGGTGGTGTATAGACGAGGTGTCGGTGGTATATCGACGAGGTGTCTGTGGTATATAGACGAGGTGTCGGTGGTGTATAGACAAGGTGTCGGTGATATATAGACGAGGTGTCGGTGATATATAGACGAGGTGTCTGTGGTATATAGACGAGGTGTCTGTGGTATATAGACGAGGTGTCGGTGGTGTATAGACGAGGTGTCGGTGATATATAGACGAGGTGTCGGTGGTATATAGACGGGGTGTCGGTGGTATATAGACGAGGTGTCGGTGGTATATAGACAGGGTGTCGATGGTATATAGACGAGGTGTCGGTGTTGTATAGAGGAGGTGTCGGTGTTGTATAGACGGGGTGTCGGTGGTATATAGACAAAGTGTCGGTGGTATATAGACAAAGTGTCTGTGGTATATAGACGGGGTGTCGGTGGTGTATAGACGCGGTGTCGGTGATATACAGACGGGGTGTCGGTGGTATATAGACGAAATATCTGTGGTATATAGACGAGGTGTCAGTGGTATATAGACGGGGTGTCGGTGGTATATAGACGGGGTGTCGGTGGTATATAGACGAGGTGTCGGTGTTGTATAGACAAGGTGTCTGTGGTATATAGACAAAGTGTCGGTGGTATATAGACGGGGTGTCGGTGGTATATAGACGAAATATATGTGGTATATAGACGAGGTGTCTGTGTTATATAGACGGGGTGTCGGTGGTATATAGACGAAATAGAGACGAGATGTCGGTGTTGTATAGACAAAGTGTCTGTGGTATATGGACAAAGTGTCGGTGGTATATAGACGAAATATCTGTGGTATATAGACGAGGTGTCAGTGGTATATAGACGGGGTGTCGGTGGTATATAGACGAAATATCTGGTATATAGACGAGGTGTCAGTGGTATATAGACGGGGTGTCTGTGGTATATGGACAAAGTGTCGGTGATATACAGACGGGGTGTCGGTGGTATATAGACGAGGTGTCGGTGTTGTATAGACAAAGTGTCTGTGGTATATAGACAAAGTGTCGGTGGTATATAGACAAAGTGTCGGTGGTATATAGACGAGGTGTCGGTGGTGTATAGACGCGGTGTCGGTGATATACAGACGGGGTGTCGGTGGTATATAGACGAAATATCTGTGGTATATAGACGAGGTGTCAGTGGTATATAGACGGGGTGTCGGTGGTATATAGACGGGGTGTCGGTGGTATATAGACGAGGTGTCGGTGTTGTATATAGACAAGGTGTCGGTGGTATATAGACGGGGTGTCGGTGGTATATAGACGAAATATCTGTGGTATATAGACGAGGTGTCTGTGTTATATAGACAAAGTGTCGGTGGTATATAGACGGGGTGTCGGTGGTATATAGACGAAATATCTGTGGTATATAGACGAGGTGTCTGTGTTATATAGACGGGATGTCGGTAGTATAGAGACGATATAGAGACGAGATGTCGGTGTTGTATAGACAAAGTGTCTGTGGTATATGGACAAAGTGTCGGTGGTATATAGACGAAATATCTGTGGTATATAGACGAGGTGTCAGTGGTATATAGACGGGGTGTCGGTGGTATATAGACGAAATATCTGGTATATAGACGAGGTGTCAGTGGTATATAGACGGGGTGTCTGTGGTATATGGACAAAGTGTCGGTGATATACAGACGGGGTGTCGGTGGTATATAGACGAGGTGTCGGTGTTGTATAGACAAAGTGTCTGTGGTATATAGACAAAGTGTCGGTGGTATATAGACAAAGTGTCGGTGGTATATAGACGAGGTGTCGGTGGTGTATAGACGCGGTGTCGGTGATATACAGACGGGGTGTCGGTGGTATATAGACGAAATATCTGTGGTATATAGACGAGGTGTCAGTGGTATATAGACGGGGTGTCGGTGGTATATAGACGGGGTGTCGGTGGTATATAGACGAGGTGTCGGTGTTGTATAGACAAGGTGTCGGTGGTATATAGACGGGGTGTCGGTGGTATATAGACGAAATATCTGTGGTATATAGACGAGGTGTCTGTGTTATATAGACGGGGTGTCGATGGTATATAGACGAAATATCTGGTATATAGACGAGGTGTCAGTGGTATATAGACGGGGTGTCTGCGGTATATGGACAAAGTGTCGGTGATATACAGACGGGGTGTCGGTGGTATATAGACGAAATATCTATGGTATATGGACGAGGTGTCTGTGGTATATAGACGAGGTGTCGGTGGTGTATAGACGAGG